CACGTGAGACTGATGGCACAGCATGGACGTGAGCGTCCTGTGGAGCCACTCCACCATCCCGTCCGTCTGCGGGTGGTACGGGGAGGTACGCACTTTCTTCGTACCCAACAGGTTGCACACCTCACGCAATAGGGAGCATGAGAAATGTTTTCCCTGATCGGTCAGCAGCCGCTCCTGTGCGCCTTTGTCCAGGACATAGCCCTGGATAAAGGCCTCGGCGACGGCTGCTGCCGACTGGTTAGCGAGTGGCCAGGCCATGGGCCATCGAGTGAAATATTTGACGCCAACCAGCAGGTACTTATTACCCCTAGGCGTTGCCGGGAATGGTCCCAAATTGTCGAGCGCGACGAGCTCATTGACGCGGGAGACTCGAATGGATTGTAACGGTGGACAGGCCGCTTTGGCTGGCGGTTTTCGCTGGGCGCACTGCACACATCCTTTGAGAACAATCGACACATCCTTATCCATTTCCGGCCAGAAGAAGTCAAGGCGGAGCATGGCTAGGGTCTTGTGAAACCCTAAATGCAACAGCCGCTCGTGAGCGGCCAGAATGACCCTACCTTGTAAGGCGGATGGCACGACGATTCTGTAACGGAGGGCTTTTCCGTTCCAATTCATAAGGAGACCCTCCCGCATTATCCAAGAATCGACCCCTCTCCGACCATCCGTAGAGCCGCCAGCCTTACGACGTAGCGTGAGCAGGGACGCGTCCCCCATTTGGAGCCGACCCCAGTCAGCGAGGGTCAAATTAAGCAACGAATCCCCACCCGTTTGAGAGAGAGAGTTACCCAGAGCCGGTGCGTCAGTGGCGGTGGCCAAAACAGTGGATGGGACAACACATTTCGGTTTGCAACGTCCCGATCCAAGGAAACATGCACATTCCCCGCCGACGGTCAGTTGCGACAGGGCATCAGCATTTGTATGGCGAACACCCTTCCGGTAAGTGGTCGTGAATTGGTAGTCCTGCAGGACTTCCAACCATCGAGACAGTTGTCCCGATGGCTGGTCAACACGGAGTACGTATTGTAATGCCGCATGGTCCGTACGGACAGTGAAGTGCCGCCCGTAGAGATATGGTCGATACTGTTGGATAAAAAAACCGATAGCCAATAGTTCGTGACGGGTAACGCAATATCGCTGTTCTGCCGGCGATAAAACCCTGCTACCGTAGGCAATGACGTGTTCGAGTCTTCCAATGACCTGTGAGAGCAGTCCGCCAATGCCGGTGTTACTGGCATCCGTGTCAAGCAGAAAGGGTGCAGTGAAATCAGGGTAACACAGGGGCGGAGCACTCACGAGGGCGTCCCTGAGGGAGCGGAAGTCGGCCTCCTCCTCAGGACCCCAGCAAAATTGTACGCCCTTTGCCGTCAGAGCGTGGAGGGGCTTGGCTATGGTGGCAAAGTGTGCGACGAACCGCCGATAGTATGAGGCAAACCCTATGAAGCTACGGACCTCACTGACCGAAGTGGGCGTGGGCCAGGAGCTGACGCACTGAGTTTTAGCGGGATCAGTGGAGATACCTGAACGACTCACTATGTGCCCCAAATACCGCACAGATTCCCGGAGGAGGTCGCATTTCTGTGGCTTAAACTTTAATTTAGCGGACCGCATTTTCAGGAATACTTCCCGTAGACGTTCGACGTATTCCTCGAACGTCCGGCTGAACACAATGACATCGTCCAGGTAAATTAAACAGGTATCCTATTGGATACCGGCCTAAACCAATTCCAATAAGCATTGGAATGTTGCGGGAGCTGAGTGGAATCCCATGGGCAACAGAATGAACTGGAATAGGCCCACGGGTGTTCTAAAAGCGGTCTTGGGTTTTGACTCCTCGTCCAGGGGAAGTTGCCAAAATCCCGATAGCAGGTCTAACGTGGAGAAATATTATGCCCCCGCCAAGGCGTCCAATGATTCGTCCATTCTGGGGAGTGGATATGCGTCAGCCACAGAGATCTTATTCAGGTGACGAAAATCTACACAAAACCTCAGAGACCCATCGTGCTTTTTGACGACCACGATGGGGACCCCCATGATGTCTGCGGGACAGCATGTCATTAACAGCCGATTTGACATGCTCTTTCTCGGCGGGGCTTAGCCGGAAAGGATGGGGGCGGCGTCACCCATGTCAATATGGTGACATAGCAAGTCGGTGCAACCGATATCATATTTGTGGTTGCTAAAAACGTCAGAAAATTCAAGCAACAGGGTGCGCAGTGCAGCAAGTTGCGAACCAGACAGGTCACTGGATTCAGAACAAAGTGAATCCAACCACCCCTGATCCCGGCTTAGTTCTGGATGTGGAGCGGGACCGGTATGCACATGCCCAATCACCGGCTCTCCCATTGGTGCCGACATTGCGTGAGCGAGCACGTTCCCCTGTGGGACCACAGCCGTCCGAGAACCCGCATTTAGAACCAAGACGAAGGGATCTCCGTCTGCTCGCACTATCGTCTGAGCCACCAACAACTCCAGCCCCTTCACTGCTCCGTTTGATGGACCCAAGAGGACCCCATGCAGTGCTACCCCTATGCCGAGAGGTTTTCGCAGCCGCAGGGGGACCAACATTTGTGACCCAGGCGGTACGTGTACCGTCTGGGTGACCATTGCTTGTACAGTCGCAGCGGTTGTGCATATGCCGCTGGGGGAAACCAAAAACGCAATGCGGCGGCCCGAAGAAAGTTCAATACAGCCCTGATCAATGAGGATCTTAATCGGCATTTTAGCCAAAAAATCCGTTCTCAACAAACATGGGACTGCGAGAGAGGATGAAACCAAGATTGGCCCAGATAGTTTAATATCGCCAATACAAATTCTCGCCCGGATTTGACCGACAATGCCCAAGGATCCTCCATTTGCCGCATAGCACGGAACGTCAACAGGCAGTAATGGTCGACATTGAACAGGGAGTATGTTATAAATAAGGTCGGAAATAATTGTTGCCGACGCCCCAGTGTCAACCAGTACCCGAACCTCGACCCCCTCAATAGAACCCGCAACCACAGACGATCCGGCCAACGCAGCAACCACCCCCAACTCGGACCACTAGCCTGGTCCAAGCGCTCGTCCAAACGCACCACCCCTCACTGAACTGGCGCCCGTGGCGCGTGATGTGTCATGTGCGGCGCGGTGAATCGTGTGTGGTGTGTGGGGGGGCCGAGCATGTGTGGTGCCGCGACTTGCCGGAGATTGCTGGGATGACTTGGGAGCCTGGGCGTCGTCCGGCCGAGTTTCTTGTGCGCGCTGCCGTGGAGCCCGGCACCCCGATGCAACATGGCCTCGGAGGCCACAGTTGTAGCAGGTGACGAGGGCTGACGATGGTCTCGGTTGCTCCAGCTTGCGCGCCGGATGCTGAGGCGGTCGGCCACCCGACCTCCAATCCCCCGAACGAGTCGCAGCGAAGACCTCCTCCGATGGCTGGGCGTCTTGGGGCTCGCCGCGCTCCGAGGTGGAGGCGGCGGCGATGAGAGGCCGGTTCCGCTTCAGGACCTCGTGGGCATGAATGTTTGTGGCGACTCGCAACGAGCATATATCCGCCTCATCAATGAGTACGTGGGGCGGTGTGTTATATACATCAACGTTGGGGAGACAAAGGCGGCAAGGCGTGGTGCAGTTCGCATGGGCACACCACCCCCTCGTGCGCCGTGCTGACCTTCATCGGTGCTTGTTTACAGCGCTTGCCTCAACAGCCTGTGAAAGGTCACATGGAGGGATCTTTGCCTACGTGCTCCAACTGCACTGAAACTAAACTCAACAATTATTTTTCATCAGGTAAGGCCCTCACTGAGCTTTATAGCTCAGTGGGGGCCTTACCCCAAGGAAGTGGCTCATGAAAAGTTGTCGCAGCCAAATACCCTAAACGCATGTTGCTAAATGTGGAGGGAAAAACGAGTGGACCCGGAGAAACATCCACGTGACCACGGAGAAAACATGCAAACTACAAATACACAGCAGGCGTCAGGGTCGGAATCAAACCCACGGCCTCCTGCATACCAGGCGAGGTAGTTAACATCTCCTAGCCACCGTGGTGATGATGAGAGAGAGAGAGAGACGCAACACCATATATACAACCGGCGTCAGGGTTGGAATCAAACCCACAACCTCCTGTATACCAGGCGAGGTAGTTAACATCTCCTAGCCATAGTGGTGGTGCTGCCGGCCTCTGTGGGTTGCAGCGAGTTGAATGGAAAGAAGATCCGTGTGCGATCGCTCACGTATGAAACGCAACGAGAGAAGCTCGAGAGAAATTTGAGCCGTTGCGAGGGTTTTTTCCCCCCTACAGTGTTTCGTACGTTACCGTGCATCAACGGTACTGATTATGATGATGAAGTGTGCCGCTATTTTTTTGGAGAAATGTGAGATCAATTCGCTGCATTGTCAGTTCATGTACAATTGTGTGTGTATGCGTGGAGTCTGATTTAGTTTAGAAATAATATGTACTACAGTTTGATTAGAAATCAGAATAGCATTTTCTTTTCATATTTTGGAAGGTAAAGGCCATGCTGAGATTTTGGCCACCGGCTTGGCTCTTTAGAAAAGTAAAACAAAAAAAATATTGGAAGCATAAATATCCTTACCAAATCAGACGTGGTGCTACGGCCGCTCAGGCCAAAATCAATGCGCGCTCACACAACGTATTGAGCGTGCGCTGTTGGTTTTGCATTCGCGATTGAGATGGTGTCTTTGAAATCAAACCCGTGCGATCTTGGAACTGTCCAATTGTTGATGATATTCCGACAAACGGCGGAACGATGACAGACATATTCGCAGCGGGCCATTGTCTCCTGCAATTGTCCTGCTTCAGAGCCACATAGCAAGGGGAGTTACTGGCCGACGTGTCAGCTTGCTGTTGTTTGTGTTAAGCGGGCAGCATTCGTGATGAACTTGGCAAGTGTGTTTTGATTTGTGCTCGTGTCACTGCCAACAGGTCCCAGTCCCTTGTTGTTGTTGTTGTTTTTAATAAATATCCTCTTCTCTGTCCCCCTCCCCCCCCCGTGCAGTCCTTCCAAGGGAGCCAAGGAAGGGCGTATTTGTTCAACTCCGTGTAAGTTTGCCTTTATTTACATCACGGCTGTGTGTGTACGGAGGGGGAAGCCACCGCCTTGCTTGAGACTTGAGCCCACACGATCAATCGATTGGTCGGCTACAGATTGTACGACTTCCTTCTTGTGGTCAATTACTCGGTGGGCCCTTTGAAAAATGGCGGCCACCCCCACATCCCACCTTCCGAAGGTGGGAAACCCCCAAACAAGCCACGCCCAGCGTTACGGCGGCTGATGATGCCGATGACGTCACCAAGATCGTCCGTTACCTCCCGTCCAGCGACGCACTTAAGAGCAGAGGTGAGACATTTTTTTTCTCCCAATTGTGTTTTCACGATCAGTTGAGCCACCGAACCTGACGATCGGTGGGGCCATCGATGACTCCAGTAATGGGATCACAGCCCGAGCCAGTACGGGAGGCCCAACCCTGACCACCGCGGCGGGGCGGCGGCTGCCGATGTGCCATCCGATGCCCCGCGGCTCCACATTTGGCGGCGCGCTTTGGCATCAGATGCAACCCCGGTGGTGTGCCGTTAGCGCAAATGACTTATCACGGCATTGCCGACGCGTTCGCCTCGCCCGGTCCGCCCGCCCGGTACAGGGCATCGATGCCGCTTGAGCGTGGATGGAGCCGATTCCTCCACCCCAGACGATTTTGGTGGATTCCCTCGATTTTGTGGTTTACGATTCGATTCTGAAAAATGTGTCCATTTTGGTGCCCACGGTGGTTCCAGTTTTTCAGTTTTCATTTATTTTGATGTAGCCCCTGTGAGCCATTCGGCTCTTGAATCGGGTGCAACCGCAACAAACAAACAAACATGAACAAGATGGTGCATGTGGCCCTCCCTCTGTGCCCTAACGATGTTGATCATGATGAGGATAATGAGGATGATGATGGGGGCGCGTTGAACACAGAGTAGTGTGAATGTATGAAACACATAGTGTTCTGAACATATCGTCTTTAGCCGTGATCTAGCCACTGCAGAATGAAGGCCTCCCAGCACCAACGCCATCTCGCTCCTGCATGGCTCCATCTTCGCAGTGGTCTTACCCTCGGGCGTCTTCTCACCTTTGGCTGATATCTCATCACCAAGATCATCCTTCTGCAAACACTTGGCAGCACCCTCCTGAAAGAGAGTCTGCAGACTCGACGAGAGGAGGCTTTCCTGGGTAAACAAGCATAAATATAGCAATAAATAATAATTGTGCTTGAGCCTGGTGAGTGCTTGGATGGATTGCTGCTGATAAATACCAACAGATGCAGGCATCGGCTGGGAGGTGGCCAAGGGATAAAAGCACAGCGATGGATTATTTAATAAATCTGTGCTGTTTCCCTCTCGTATGCACAGTGGGGTTCCTCTGGATGCTCGGGTTTTACTACTCGTGAAACTAAGCAAATCATTCATGAAGACTGCCAAACTTGTTTGTTGTGATACTTTTTTTGTTGTGGTCGTGCCTTTTCTTTTGATGCATTTTCTTAATTTGTTTATTCATTTTAGATTGTGCTCGGTAGTAGGCTTTTCATTTGCTTGGTATTGGCTGTATATGGAATTTGGTCCTCATATATAATTAATATACATCGTTATGGGATGCTATTAGCATGAATGATGCTATACAAAATGAAAGTGTTATTACGCCGATACAGGACCCTCCAGGAAGGGAGTCTTGAGACTCAGTGCGGCCTTCCCATGGAAAGACAAATATTCATATTCAGGACAGTAGCTTTAGAATCGACTTGTTGTTGATGGACCCGCTGCATCATCCGCACGCGTCCCATGCTGCGGTAGCGCGGCGAACTCCCGCTGCCACAGTCAAAACCGCGACCTCCGCTGGAAGAGTGTGGACGTACACACTGACAGCGGCGCCGTCATCGGCACCCCCCCCCACCCCCCCCCCGTAGGGCCGAGCAGGCACGGGGAAGTCGATCAACGGAACAATGCGAGAAGCCTCCCCACCCTACTACACCCCTCTGCCCCCCCCTCCCCTCTCTCTCTCTCTCCTATTTCCTTCCCCCGGCCAACAATTTGTATCGAACGAGCGGAGCCGCGATTTGGCCGGGAGCGCGACATAACGCGGAATATCTGCGCGCGGGGTGGGGGTGCTGGTCATCCACGCACGCACGCACGCAGGGTGGCGCAGCAAGCGCGGCGGTGCTCGCGATGGCGCGGCCGATTGAATTGATGCCAGGCTCAGTTTTGTCTCCTGGAGGGAGCTATGTTATTCTACACGCTGTACAAGAGGAGCACCAGTTCACTCTTCCCCCCCCCCCCCCGCCCTGCACCCGCAGATGGGATTCTGCAAAACCTTGTCTGGGTCGGTGAGCCTGGAAGTTCAGCGTCTGTTTAGGCTGAACGTGCATGTGTTTGTGTGTTGTTTATCATCATTATTATTATTATTGCGACGCTTGTCTTTGCTAAGGAAAGCCTCCGTGAGACTTGCAGTATTGACCAGGCCGGCCTACTGGATTCGAATTGTTAACGTCTGTGACGGGTGGCGAACTCGCGTCCGCTCGGCCTTGCGCGAGGTGATCCCCACCTCCTACCCCAATTGCCGAGTGATTCGGTGGATTGTCGCGGGTTCGGGATCGCGTTTTCCGTGGAACAGTTGACTCGTTGTCGTCTCGTGTTTCACCGACTCATCGGTCCCGTTTTGCTCATCTCGATCGCAACGCGAGACGATGGAACTGTGCACGAACCCCTAGAGCACTTAGATCCGCGTGAATTGTGAATGTACTAATTGATTTAAAGGACACTGCTGTTGTATATGGACATCGTAGAGGTGTTTTGGGCTAGATCGCAGTAAACATTTAAATGTGTCGTGAAACCCGCCACCCAAAACACCTCAATTATGGATATTGGTCACAAAAGCCTACGTGTTAAACAGTGTATGTACTCTGTGTATAGTGTGTGTGGTTAGTGTATGTGTGTGTGGTTAGTGTGTGTGTATATAGTGTGTATAGTGCGTGTGTGTGTGGTTAGTGTGTATAGTGTGTGTTTAGTGTGTGTGGATAGTGTGTGTTTATGTGTGTATAGTGTGTGTGTGGATAGTGTGTAAGTGTGTGTATAGTGTGTGTGTGTATATAGTGTGTTTGTATGTGTGTAAGTGTGTGTATAGTGTGTGTGTGTCTGGATAGTGTGTGTGGATAGTGTGTATGTGTGTGTGGATCGTGTGCGGTGCCGCTGAAGGACAATGGTTAGCGCGCTGCGCTACAAAACCGGCGGCACTAGTAAACTTCCCATTCGCGTCCAACACCGGTGACGATTATCTGAACCGGTCCCTGGGCCTCCCTGAGGTCGACTCAGCCTCAAATGAGTACCTGGTGCGGTGTGCAAGCATCGCCACTGGGGAGACAAAGGCGGCCAGGCGCGGTGCTGGCCACCCACCCCCTAGTGTACCATGCCAGGCTTCATAGGCGCTCGCCTAACAGCACTTGCCCCAAAAGTCTGCTAAGGCTATGAGAGGCGTATTTGTCTTTGCGCGTCTGTGCACGCCCCATCATGAATTACAATCCCATTGCGCGTGGAGAAAATAAATCAGGTTCGCTGTCAGACGCTGCCCCCGTCACCCACGAAGCCTGGAGTTTTACGCGCCCTTTAATGGAACGGTCAGCGAGAACGCCGTCCGATTTACATCACCAACGCGCGCGGTGGGGGGGAGGGAAGAGATAAAACATAAGAGGTCGTCTCACAGTTGAGGTACAAACAAACAAAATACAACAACAACCACCACCACCACCACGCGGACCGAACTAAGATGGGACAAGACGAGGAGGTTGACCGAGAAATGCCTCCGAAAGGGCGATTTCTTTCTCCGCCGCGTTGCCGACCGATGCCAACCAAACGATCGCCAAGTCATCCGTGGCCCGCGACGAATCTGCCGCGTGGACGACTCGACTCTGCCAGGCGACAGGGATGGTGTGTTTCGGTGACGCCCGTTAGGATGTGTCTGCTGATTTGTGCCGCGCGTTGTTCGGAATCGAGGCTTTGGTTCGGCCCGGGAGGGGGAATCGATAAAGGGGCTGCTGGTGAATATTCTGTGAGAAATTAAACGATCACCCTGGTGTGCGCTGCGTGCATTCATCGGCACCGGGCAGATAAAGTTGGCCGGAACAGTGGTCCTGGTCACGGCCCGCCCCCTCGCGCTGCTCAGCCTTCACAGGTACTCCCTAACAGCACTTGCCCCAACAGCCCTGTATGGCTATACGGGGGATCTTTGTCTTTGTCTGCGCAGAGTGAACGTGGGCTGCGGGCCGGCAGAGGAGCGGGTTCTGTTGACCGGGCTGCACGCGGTCGCCGACATCTACTGCGAAAACTGCAAAACCACCCTGGGCTGGAAATACGTACGTTGGTTTCCCTGGGTCTTAAGTCGGCGTGCCGGTTGAAGCAGTCAGTGGCACGGGTGAAAGCCGGTGGCGTGGATTAATGCAGTCGGGGTCGTGGGTTAATGCAGTCGGGGGTGTGGGTTCATGCCAAGGCCGTAGCCATGGAGTCAACATTGTGGGGGGGGACCAAATCTTCCAGGGGGTCTGGGGGTCCCAACCCAGAAAAATATCTAAATTTTAAAACTCATTTCCTGCCTAAAATATTTAAAAATTCACTAATACATGGGATGGACTTTTTATTTATTTTTTACAATAATGTCTAATGGTGTATTGTATCACATTGCTCTGTTTTTACTTTTTTACCATTTCTTGTTGCATTGTATGTAATGTTTGAGATTAGGGATTAATAAAGTAATTATAGTATATATTTGGGGGGGATGTGTGCCCCCCCCCCCCAAAATACAGTCTATTATAATTATGGCCTTGGTTCATGCAGTCAGGGGTGTGCGTTAAAGCCGGTGGTGTGGATTAATGCATTCGGGGGCGTGGGTTAAAGCCGGTGGTGTGGGTTAATGCAGTCGGGGGCGTGGGTTAATAGAGCCGGTTGCGTGGGTTAATGCAGTCGGGGGCGTGGATTAAAGCCGGCGGTGTGGGTTCATGCAGTCTGGGGTGTGGGTTGAAGCCGATGGTGTGGCTTAACGCAATCGGGGGTGTCGGTTAATAGAGCCGGTGGTGTGGGTTCATGCAGTCTGGGGTGTGGGTTAAAGCCAGGGGCGTGGGTTAAAGCCAGGTGAGTGAGTTTAAAGCGATGCCATGGGAGAGGAAAGGGATGATGCACAGATGAATTGCTTTGGCCCAGTGCTAGATGCAGGGGAGGTTGGTGTCCTCCCAGAGAAGTGCTGCGTGCTCGTCAGCAGATCTCTTCCCGGCCTGCTGTGCCACTTTGAGCGGTGTTGACTTCTGCCTTGCTGGTACCCCAGTGCAGCGACACGGAGACGTGTATGACCCCCCCCCCCCCTGCTCATTGCTCTTAATTGTCTCTTGCACCCCTCAGTCAGGGCCGGATTAGTGTTATGATATGCCTCAGGTGAATAGAAGGGAAGGGCCTAAGTAATTTTTTTTTCACCTGAAGACGATGGCTTGTGTTGCTATCGAAACGTCGTGATATTTTTATTATTTTTTCTATCTACGTGGCTTTACAGAAAGACCCAAAGAATATGAATTCCTGCAGTCACAAAGCTTTAAGTCAATGTTTTTCCCCCGTAGCTTCAGCTGTGGCAAAGTCATGAATGATGTCATCGTAGTTGAAAGACAAAATAGTTCTGATGGCCACGCTACCGTCACTCAGCTGCTGTTACTTCAATATGTAAAGGAGGGCCTGCAAAATAAGGGCCTAATCCGGCCCCTATCCGCAGTGCATTTTTGTTGTTGCCATTGCTGAATGCGGTAACGCGCCCCTACATGGCCTGGGTGTCGTTGGTGTTGTGCCAAATTGTACGATTTTGATATTAGTGAGGAGTTTATTTTGTTAAACCAGGCGAGAAATGGATAGGCCAGGATCGTCTCGTATGCAAGAGTGACTCGGGTAGACGCCAAAGGGTCCGGCATTGGTACAAGATGGGCATTAGGAAATAAAAATAAACAGCTGTGTGCGCTTTTGGCATCACACGACAAGGCATGCCTGGGATGCTCGAGTAACGGTGAAGGCTTGCATTCAAATTCAGATCCGATTTCCTGTAGTGATCCGTTTGTTTTTGCGCTGGCATTTCAATCGCACATTTTTTACCATCACCCCCCCAAAAAAAGAATCCTTCCACACAGGAAGAGATGCGTGTTTGAGTAGACTCCAACTCGGTTAAACAAAGAGTCGTCTTGTCTCAAAATATGGGTGGGGGGGGGGGGGGGTTCTCCCTCAGAATATGTATTTAAACTGGAGCAATCCGAGGAGCTATAAAGCTCTTTTTCCCCCACAGATGTCCAGATTTGGGTGGGGGACGGGGAGAGGGAGGGGAGGGGGGGGGTTCGGGTCAGAACGTCACGTCAGCCCCGCCGTTGCGTGTAGGTAAGGCCCCGATTTGGGCGTGAGCTGCAGCGACCCTCATCCCCATTAACCGCCGTGTGTCTTCATGGACGACGTGTCTGTGATTGTGCGCGCGCAGGAGCACGCGTTCGAGAGCAGCCAGAAGTACAAGGAGGGTAAGTACATCATCGAGCTGGCGCACATGATCAAGGACAACGGCTGGGACTGAACCTCCCCCTTCACCCACCACTTCGGTCGGCAGTCACTTCAGAGCACCCCCACCACGGCTGCCCCCGTGTGGAGTGGAGTGGGGGGGGGGGTCAGGGATGGGGTCGAGGAGCGCGTGCTGGGGGGGGGGGTGTGGGGGGGGCAGACTTCGCTTGAAGAAGAGCGGGTGGGGGGGGGGTGGTGGAGATGGGGAGGGGGTGGTGGGGGGGGCGGGGGAGGGGCACCCACCCACCACCCACCCACCCACCACCCACCCGCGTGTATCCCTCGGGGTGACGGCGTCGTCGCGTCGTCTGTACCGATCGCGCGGCCGCGAGCGACCGTTTGACGCCCTCGTCTCTGTCCGTGGTTTTTCTTCTTCGTCTTCTTCTCTCACCCCGCTTGGGACATCGTGAGGCGACCAGGCCAGGGAGAGGCTTTGGGGCAATCGATCAGAAATGAGAGAGAGAGCGAGATAGAGCGCGAGCGAGAGAGAGATGGCGACACGAACTAAAAGAGAAAAAAATATCCCTCGCGCCGCACGTCGCTCGCCCTCTCGCCCTCTTCTCTCTCCCGCTCCATCTCCACGGCGGAGAGAGTTTATTTACGCTGCGTCGTCGAGGCTTTTTTTTTCTTTTAAAACAAGTGCATGATTCGGTGGATCAAAAGCTGGGGAATTAAGTTATATTTTTGTTTGTTCTTGTGACGGTACGATAACAATTGACTTCTAAAATTACGTCAAAAATGCCAAGGTATCTCGGCACTGTTACAGTTTGTGTTGTAATTATTATTTTTTTGCGTTACGTGTAAATTGCGATCGAACCCATTGTAGGCAATGGCGAAGCATTTATTTATTGAAACGAATTTTTGTTTAACTTTTTTTCGCGCATCGCGATTTCGCGATGACTTGAGACTCAGCGCACACCTTGTGCCCCGTTGCGGCCGCGTTGACCCCTAAGCTTGCCTTAGTGGAGCCTCGTTTAAAGATTTAGCCGTCTGCCATCAGATATACATATATACTAACATACCGTCTCTAGACGTGTGCACGACGCGTGTTCACCTGAGGCTGTGGCTTGTGTCTGTTACGATGCCGCTCCCTCCTAACTCATTGATTTAGAAAATGTAACCTGTAACATGAACGAGGTTTTTTTTTAATTGTATCGTTTCAAAATCCCAAGCAACCGAGCGTCCCGTCATGGATTATGAATTTCGCGATCGGTGCGTGAATTGGAAGGGGCGGAAAGCGGTGGCCTTGGGATGTTGCCAAGCGGCTGGTGAATCGTTCTTCTGGGTGCTAATTTGTTTAATTTTTTTTTGCTCGGTTTATCTGCCCTAAATATGCTTCTTTCTCGGGGCGATTCCAGAAATCGCAATCTTATCGATTGTGTTACTCCTACCATTTATTTATACCACTTTTTTGCACAAATTGATGGCTATTGAATTTTGCAGTTTTATAGCAAAAATTTGTTTATTTTCCCCACTCATTTAGAACTGGGTCTTTTATGTTTACCAGCGGCTTTAAAGGCAGTGGGGAGAGGTGGGAGGGAAGGGAACACGCCCCACCCCCCTCCTCCTTATTTGCCCATAAATCCGGTTAATCAAACGCAAGAGCAAATATTGCTAATGGGGAGTGTGGAGCTTGTGGTACCGAGGAACGGCTTGCGGTAGCGGTTCGCACCGACCACCGTGGACAAGCTACCAAACAACACAGCCAAACATCCTCATCCTCCTCCCGTGCGCAATAACACAGCATTCAAGTCCGTCCGTCGTGTACACAGCGGGCCTGGTGTTTGCGTACGAGCAGGCATCCGATGGAAGCTTGCCCGAAGAAAGACGTTCTCGGTCTGGGTCGGTTCAGCTTATCAGGAATCTAGGAACCCGGCTCAGAAAACATTTGGCCGTTTTGATTTGTTGTTGGTGTTGTTGTTGGTGGTGTTGTTGTGCCGTGCGTCGTTGGCTCAGGTTTGTTTCCGTTACGCTCTCAAGTTTCTCCGTTATAAGAATAGGTTTCACCTCTTTCTGGCAATGAGACAGGTGTTAAGATGTTTACACACCAAACAGGAACCATTTTTTGTTGTTGTTACAAGGAATCGTTCGCCTCTTGGCGTCCTCTTGTCGAACACTGTTTGAGACGAGGCTCTGGTGTGGACCAATCAGTTTCAAAGACAATGCATATATTACCAGAAGCATGTTCTTTTTTGCATGTTCACCACGAGTACGTGTGGTTAATTCAGACATTATTCCTTGCCAAAGGGGTTTATGTTCGGTGTTTTAACATCTTAACACAAACTGTTGTATTGCCAGAAAGGGTTAAAACCTATTCTTGTGTTTTCATACCGGCAAGGGAGGGGGGGGGGGGGTACCACGATGTGTTCCTGTGTTTGGGATGTGCGGGGAGAGGTAGAGAGCGAGAGAGAGAAGAGAGAGTTACGCAATGCCTCGAAAGCAGCCACGACGCCCGACTTTGTCAAACGCAAGTTTAACGGAAACAAGAGCAGCAGTGTTACTCCCCATAAAAGAAACGCTACAACGTACGTTTTTTTATTTTTTACTCGAGGTATAAATGCCCACGTCTAAAAGTGAACACTGCAGGACCAGTGCACTACTGACACTAAACAAACACGCACAAACACACACACAAACACAAAAACACAAAAACATTAAGAGAGAAAAAAGACAAAATAATAATAAAAAAACCGCTACGAAACTGCGAATAATGTTGGAAAATTGAGAATTGATTTACGGGGGTGGTGGTGGTGAGATAAAAATGCTCGTTATATGTTTTGTTATTAAATCTCCTTTCACGTTTGTTGACTTGTTGCAGCGACACCGTTGGGTTGGCCTGTGTGTTACTCGTTGTGGTGCTCCCAGCCGGTCGCGAGGATTTCAGTAAACGTGCGGGTAGAGCGGGGAGATTAATTCTCGAATAGAAATCAACACTCCCCCCCCCCCGTTATGTGTGGATGTGTGGGAGAAGAGAGCTGGTGGGAGGAGGGAGGATGTGGAGCGGAGGGGTTTGCACTGTATGCGGTTTGTTAAAATGTTTATTTTTTTATTACGGCACTATTGCTCCTTGAACTCCACGTGTTAATGGGAAGAGCGTCATGTTAAATCTCCCAAGGCCCATACCTATGTGTATGTATAGTGAACTTATTTTGCACCCGCACATAGCCAACCGTTCTAATCGGAGGTGGGGGTGGGTGGGGGGAATGACAACAGATTAAACACAAAAAGCAGTGATAAAGAGATGAGTTTTAAATTCCGATTTAAAATTGCATAGCTCCATTGGCTACCTAATATCGGAAGGAAGAGCGTTACAGACGGCCTCAGAAACGCATCTGAAAGCGCGCGATGCAGTGAACCACCTTTGTTTGATGGCGAGCCAAAAAAAAATCGATGGCTTGCATATACTAGCATATGCACGTACGCACAGACGCACAGTATTTATATTTTAAATCAGAGAAGTGCCCATATGCAATTGTGTTTGCCTTCGTGGACATAATCAGCATGATACAGCTCTGTAAAATGTTCCACAACAGAAATACCGACAACGGTTAGAGGGATCGCTTCTCTTACGCTGGGGAATGCACAACGCCTTTTTTTTCCCCAGTGACCAGTTGCATAAAATACCATAGTGAACCCAAATCACCATCCGCCACCATGGATGACTAAATACTGCAGTCATAGTAACAATCATAATTTACAGTCCCTTTGTCAATCCACATCTGGATGAAGGCCTCCCCCACGCCGTGTCTTTCATGGGGATCGGTTGACCATACTTCACCATGCTGGCCAGTGTGAGTTGGCGAAGGGGAGAGACCCAGGACCAGTTGAAATATCGCTCGCCCTTAATGTTAGCCGTGGCCAGTAATTCAACTCAAAATGATGGGTTCGCAGCGCATTGCGCTAACCACTGCGCCACCACTCACAATTGTCGGCACCAAATAGACAAAAGTGGAAGGTTCCATCTGGAAGGCCCATGGGTGGATGGACTAGCATTTCTTTACGTGGCCACTTGGACTTTTGTCTGTTGATTATTTATATGTTACCTCGAGGTATACTGTATTTCCCCATTGATATTCTAAAGCAGTAAGCTCGGGTACCAATTACGAAATAATAATTTGTCATTTAAAATAAGCAGTGGCACGCACGGTGGTTACCGCACTGCACTATGAACCCGGCAACCTGAGTTCGATTCCGTGCCACAGCTGAAATAAATAATAGCGAGCGATATCTCAACCGGCCCTGGTTGCCTCCCTGTCACAAAACCAGCACTCATTAGAGTGGTGAAGTATTGTCTAACAACCCCAGTGACCGACACGGTGCAAGGAGGCCTTCGTTCAAGCAGTGGGTCGCTTCGAGGGTGGTGACGTCGCCCATCGTCTGCAGCGTTCTCCGCTCGCTGCCGAGATTCACGGTTCGAATCCAGTCGCCACCCGGTTAATGTTACGAGCTGTCCGCTTCACACTGGACGCTTTCAGATCCTTTGACGTGAGTCGCAAGAGGAGGCAACTGTGTGCCGGCGTCAACGGTCCAAACTTGCCACGTTCGAAACTGACCCACAAATGACTCAATTGGCGCGATAAACATAGCAGCAGTCATCACCTCCCTCCTGGCAATAGCCCCAGGTCAGTCTTGTAAATGAGACGCATTCTGGTCTCTTGAGTTCTCACCCGCACAAAATAAACTTTAAAATTGCACGTGGCTATTTGTGTATTACGATAATGCTCGTAAATACAACAACAATAATAATGATAACATAAGGAGGAGGGAAATCACTTGAGGTGTTTATGCAACCAGTCACTCGACCTCAAGCCCGTGTGCGTCCATCATCTTCAAAGACCAATCTGGATACAACAAGTCACGTTGCGAAATCACCTAGAGAACTTCAGACCGCTTCTGCTGGCCCTGTAATCGACTCTCGGAATGTTGAGCCGAACGTGTTCCTCTAACAACGGCCCCCCGAATCCCGATCCTTATTAGGAATTTATGAGTCCCACCGTTTCAAGAAGTCACGGGGGGGAGGGGCGAGTAGGGGGGTGGATTTGGAGCAAATCGCCACCGAGTTGCAAAGTAGCAGGATGGACTCCATGTTGTGTCTGTGCGGATACAGGGATGCGGGTGCTGCTGCTGCTGCTT